ATCTCTTGTAATCTGGCTTTGTAAGAGCCAACCCTCTGAATTTACTTCCATTAATTTGTTTTCTTTGTACCATTGAAGAAACTTAGGCATTAGTATTTTAATGGCACAAAATTCTTTTAGATTGTTTTGTTATGGAAAAACATCCCTGGGGTTTTGCTCTGAGTGACTCCTCTAAAAGAAGGAGTTCACAGCAGCCTTCATACTTCCATATTTCTATGATGAACTGACAGTCATCAGAACTGAGGAGAAATCCCCATAAAGAGGGATGTTTTTCCCACATATCAAATAGTAAAAAAGGAGAAGCCAAGAACTAATGGTGGCAGGATATGAATTAATTTACTGTATTATGCTCTATAGTATCAGAACTGATGGATTCACCTACTCAAACATATTATTTAAAGGCAATATTGAAAAAAATAAAAATAAAAAAATAAAGGCAATATTGAACTTTTTAATGTTATGGCAATATACAAAGAACTCCAACTTCAGAAATGGGCCCAATTAATACTCAGTAAAAGTAAAGGCTTGGCTTCCTCATTAAAATGGAAAAAAACATTTCAGAGAGTGGGAATACATTTTGTGAGTGGGGTCCCCTAGTAGCGTTATAGGAGATCACATTTTCTTTTGCTTAGTGACAGACCCAGATTATTATCTGCTCCTTCCTGTCAGCAAGTACCCATCTCTGCTCATCAGCATGCCCTTTTCCCCGGGAATGAAGCATCCGCTCCTCCTTGTTTTCTCAGAGGGAAAATATTTTCACTTTTAAACTGAGAATATGCCTCTAACCATCCTCCTAGATTGCTGCCCTTTCCTTTCCATGTTTCTCCACATGACTTGTAGGACTTGAGCATGATTACTGGCCTGCTGTACAAAAAGAAACGAAAGGAGGAAGATGAAATACTACTATTTTGTATTGAGTCATGTGGCTTGCCAGAGGACAAACATGCAAACTAAAGCAGAAATAAATAACTCCATCTGTAGCAGTCACTTGATGTACAGAGTAACTAACCTCTGTGCTATTCAGCCAAACTCCAGCTCAAGATGCTATCCTTGGTACTGACCCAGCAAGCAAATAAAATATTTCTTTCCTTGTTTGGCAGATAGTTAATGTCCCTTTTTCCATATAGTTTTCTATATATAGTCATCTTCACTTTTAGCATCTTCTTTTGGTATTGTGATTGTTAGGAACATGCTATATGATGACAAGTATCCCAGATGCTGGGAGAGATGACAAGGATATCTATTATTTGGAGTGCTATGAGTCCAAGTCTGTGTGTAACAGTTTTCTCTTCAAAGACACAAAATCTTTGTGATTGCAGCAGAAATTAAAACCAAACATAAATTGAATGTGTCATGCCAAAGGTCTTTTGTAATTTTTTTTAAACAAAAATTTAAGTTTTAAAGCAGCCATATCAGGATAATTGCGTGGCCATACACAGAAAACAAATGTGGACAGAGAATCATGTCTCAACACTACCAGAAAATATTTCTCACCAAAACCCTTCCTGATACATTGACATTCTCTGCTTTGGATAGACTGTCTGGTCACACCATCCTACATCAGTACCTGATTGTTTTAGGAAAATCCTCTAGTTAAAGGCATTGAGTTAAACCTAGCACCTCCCTAAGAGACAGGTTCCTTTTAGGACTAAGGAATATTTACCCTCAGAATACGGCTTTCTTCTGTATATTTAATCTTTGTAAAGCACAACTTCTTTTCATTCATTATGTAGAGGATAAATCTTGTCTTTAGAATACCTCTAGAAATCCCTTTAGAAAACTCTTGTTTCACCATTTATAACAAACAACCTTGAAGATTTTATTTTCATTACTTTCTTTTACTTTTTTCTACCCAAAGTCCCTTCCCATAAGTAGCTGACAAAATCCCCACCTTTGTCAAATTGCCTTTCAACATTCTTATATATTTAATATACAGATTTGTAATTTTGATCCATTTTGATAATGTCTCTTTTCTGGGCCTATATTCTGTTAAGAATCAAAAATGGAATAAACTACAAATTTTTCCATTAATTTGGAGTGTAAACAATAGAGATTAGTGGAATCTCAATTTTTACCATAGTTATAATTCTGGAAATGAAAGGTACTCTCCTCTGATTAAATATTTTTGAAATAACTTTATGATTTTTGACCTTGAAAAATGTTTCAGAACCATAAATAATTAAATTTAACCTAGGTTTTCCCAGGTGTCTTAGGTTTTTGTTAAAATTAATAAACTTTAAATTTTGAAGTAGCTTTAGGTTCACAACAAAATTGAACAGGAAGTACAGAGTTCCCAAATACCCCCTACCCTTGCACACACAGCCACCACCATTATTGACATCCCGCAGCACAGGTGTACATTTGTTACAATCAGTGAATATGTCTTATCACCCAAAGTCCATAGTTTGCATTAGAGTTCACTCTTGGAGTTGTCCATTGTATATGTTTGGACAGATGTTCAAAATGTATGTATTCACCATTACAGTATCATACAGAATAGTTTCACTGCCCTAAATATCCTCTGTGCTCTGATTATTCATCCTTCCCTCCCCTCTCTAAACTCTGGAACCACTGATCTTTTTACTGTGCCCATAGTTTTCCCTTTTCCAGAACGTCGTATAGTTGGAATCATACAGTATGTGGACCTTCTAATTGGTTTCTTTCACTTAGTAATATGTATTTATTTTTTTTCTCCAGGTCTTTGCATGTCTTGATACCTCATTTCTTTTTAGTACTGAGTAATAGTCCATTGTCTTGATATACCACAGTTAGGTTATCCATTCACCTACTAAAGAATATTGTGGTTATTTCCAAGTTTTGGCTATTATGAATAATGCTGCTATAAAATCCATGTGCAGGTTTTGGTGGAGACATAAGTTTTCAGTTCACTTGGGTAAATGCCAAGGACCATGATTGCTGGATTATATGTAAGAGTATGTGTAATTTTATAAGAAACTACCAAACTTTTCCACAATGGCTGCACCATTTTGCATTCCCACCAGCAGTAAAGGAGAGTTCCTGTTTGCTCCACACCCTCACCAGCACTTGGCATTGTCTTTCTTTTGGATTTTGGCAATTCTATTAGGTGTGTAGTAATATCACATTGTGGTTTATAATTTGCAATTCTCTAATGACATATGATGGCACTTACTTGACATCGGTATACCTTTGATGAGATGTCTGTTCAGGTCTAGTTTTTTGGCATTTGTCATGTTTGATGTTCTCTGAGCGTCCTGGGTCTGTGGTTTGATGTCTGACATTAATTCGGGGAAATTTTCAGCCATTATTGCTTCAAATATTGCTTCTGTTCCTTTCTTTCCCTTTTGATATTCTCATTTCATGTGTGCTACATCTTTTGTAGTTAGTTGTTCCACTGTTTTTGAATATTCTGTTTGGGGTTTTCTTCAGTCTTTTTTTCTCTTTGCTTTTCAGTTTAGGTAGTTTCTATCATCATGTTCTCAAGCTCAGAGGGTTTTTTCCCCCAAAGCTTGTCCAGTCTATTAATAAACATGTCAAGAGTATTTTTCATTTCTGTTACAATGTTTTTTATTTCTAGATATCTATTTGGTTCTTTCTTAGAATTTCCATTACTCTACTTCCATTACTCTGTTTTTGCATGTTGCCTACTTTTTCCATTAAAGCCTAGCATACTAATCATAGTTGTTTTAAATTCAAAGTCTGATCATTCCAACTTTCCTGCTATATCTGACTCTGATTCTGATCCCTGTTTAGTCTCTTCAAATTGTTTTTCACCTTTTAGTATTCCTTGTAATTTTTTTGGTTGAAATCTGGACATGTTGTACTAGGTAAAAGGAACTCTAGTAAATAGGACTTAAGTAGTGCAGCAGTAAGGTGTGGGGGAGGGGAATCATTCCATAGTCCTATGATTAGATCTCAGTCCTTTAGTGAGCCTGTACCTCTGGACTGTGAACTTTACAAGTTTTTCTTGGTTTATTTCTCCCCCCTTAGGTAGAACAGGATGAGAAGAGGGGGCTAGAGTTGGATATTTTCCTTCCCCAGGTGATTCAGGCTCTGGTAAAACCAAAGCAGGTTAGACTCTGATAAAATAGTTTCTTCTGAAGTCAGGCCTTTTTAAGAACAGAATGTTTGGGCACACAAAATGTTTTCTATTTCCAACCCCCTCCTGGAAATACAAGGGGATTTTTCTCGGATACTTACTGTGAGGACCTTGTTGAGCTCCTGGAGATAAAACTCATAAAAGTGTAGGGGCCTCACTATGACTGGGACCCCCTTGACATTTTAAGTCTCAGACTTGTCCATATGGTGCCTCCAGCAATTTGCCAATTATAGTTTAGATTTTCTTACTTTGGCACTGGTTCCTGTGGAGGTTTCTGCTCATGGGTTTCTGGTCTGATAAGTTAAGATATTCTGTATTCACCCATCTCTCTCCCCAGTTTTTGGGATAGCAGTTTGCCCTATTATTTCACTGCTCTTATGAATCTAAGAAGAGTTGTTGATTTTTTCAGTTTGTTCAGCTTTTTACATGTTGTTAGGATGGAGTGGCAATTTCTAAGCTATACTAAAAACCGAAGTCTTGTGTTTTAGTTTTTATATCTACTTTTCTTCTATAGGATCAGTCAAGGCTACATTTTTTAAAACAACTATCAGCAGAAATATTGTGTGGACCGTCATCAGTTCAAGACAATTAGCTCTATATTTTCTTATTACAGAGCTCATATCATTTGCTGCAATTCAAAGAAAAGTAGCTGATGTTACCTGAAAATATCTTAGTTATATTTGGGGTGAAGAATATGAAGCACAATGAGGACTTTCATGTGTTGGAATCCTGTATTCAGTTGCAAAAATGGACCTGTGTGCTTTTGTGCCCATCCCTTGCTGCCATGGCCAACTCAGACCTAAAGTTTCTCATTGAGAGGCTTTTTATGCATGTCATTTAAAATACCAAGTTTTCATGTTAATAAGATGAAGCACAAAGGAATCTGCATATATGGTTTCACTACTTTATATTGATTGTTTAGCCTTAGTATCACAGGCAGAAGCTCTGAAGGAAGAAAATGACAGCCTCCGTTGGCAGCTCGATGCTTATCGGAATGAAGTAGAACTGCTTAAGCAAGAACAAGGCAAAGCCCAAAGAGACGATGACCCAAGCAAGGAACAGCAGTTGAAACTCCTGCAACAAGCCCTGCAAGGAATGCAACAGGTAAACACATTTTGGTTTTCTGAGCTTTTTGAAAGAATAGCATCAGCTCCTCACATGTAAGAGGGCCCCCTGCAAGCAAATAGAATAGCAAATCTCTTATAATTCTTGGTGCTCTGTTCTCTGGCATACATGAGGAAGGGATTCTGTGTTGTGGTAAATGAAATACTCTGGTTAATACAGTGGTAGCAATGGATCACCAATTTTCAGAAAATGAGCACTTTGTGAAAAATACTTAATAAAACTACACTGAACATAATCTACTTTGGGATCTGGACAGGGCCTCAGGGCCCTTATGAAGAACCACAGATACTTAGATATGAAAAAGTGCTGGTGCATAAGTATCTAGTCAATACAATGCTGAATAATACAGCCTTTTAGAAGGAATGGCAGGAGTCCTACCCTTGATTTGGATGGAAGCGGGGATGTTATGGGTTTTTAAGTATCAATGCTTTGGGCATATAATACCAATTTGCTTTTATTTTGTTATATTATCACAGTCATTTATATGAGTGAGTATACCTGCACGTTTTTCCAGTTATAAAAAGTAAACTAAATAAGTGCATCTAACTGCAACTGCATAAGTACAACGTTGTGTAATAGGTGTTCAATATCTAGAAGTTTCATGCAGTCATCACCACAGTGAGCCTATAATTTAAAAGATACCAACAGCTGTCCTCATAACAGTAAAGGAGTAGTACTTCTGAGTAAGTGTACTATCCTCTTCTGTCTTGCCAGACTACCAGCCATTTTCCTTACAACTTAAATTGTGCAATAATTTTTTTTTAATTTATTGGGGTGACATTGGTTTGCAAAACAGTATGTTTTAAGTGTAAATTCAGTAAGACATCATCTGCACGCCTCATCATGCGCCCATTGCCCCAAGCAAAGTCTCTTTCTGGCCCCATTTTCCGCCCCTTTGCCCACCTCCACCTAAAAATCGTGCAATAATTTTTTAATTGTATGCCTTAGAATTATCTAGAACAAAGCTTATTGCTGCTTGGAAATCACAAATCGTAAACAGGTAGTCTCTTCTGGCACTAAGAGCCCCATATTCCTATTACTTATGCTACCATTGTCTTCATGTGTGACAAACAATATCACATTAATATTTCACCTTTCCTATTAGCAAAATGTGTGAAGGAATGCTTACCTTTATTTTACTATCACCATGGAGTTTAATTAGAACATGCAAATTACATCAGAGATCTTTGCACCGAAAATTGCATCTCCTCAGCTAGACTTCAAAGAATTTTGACAGTGCACATTGTACTGTGTCTTTTAGCCCTTCCAGTGGTCTTTTGCAAACCTCTGAAAAGCAAGACTTTGGAAACATTTTCTTGTTTTGTTCTCTTACCTTGATTTTGAAACCATTCCACATAAGGAGAGTTCTGCAATTTAAGTGCAATTTTAAAATGATGAGCTTTTTGTTTTCTCTCTCATTTCATCACTTCAAAGACTCAGTGAGACAATTTGGTCTCTAACTCCTAAAAAATTAATTTCACTCATTTTGATTACTTTTTATTAGAAAATAGCCTTGTAAACAATGATAAAATTTCTCCCATATTATCCCAAAATGATGTATAGTCTAATATGGTGATTACAAACATGGACTAGAGGGTTGATGCAACCTGGGACTAAATCCCAGCTCTGCCGCTGAATGACCTTAGGCAAACCACTAACCTTCTCTAAGCTCAGGATTATGTATCATGGGAAAATTGTGAGGCTTAAATGAGATAATGGGTATGGAACGCTTTGCCCAGTGCTTGGCACATCTTAAATGCTAAATAACAGTATTTGTTGTAATCATAAATAATGGTGAATCTAGGCTTGGCTTGGAAAATGGATATTTGCAAGGATGCTTTACAGCATTAAATTCAGTTCTATGCAGCAATCAAGATATTGTCCACACGGTATTAACTGCACTCTTCCCTTACCCCTGACTGAAATAGGAAAATTAAGTGATTAGATCAGTCAGTTTCTTAGACTCTTTCTAAAATATTAACAAATACAAAGGAAGTTCATAAGAGCCAAATAAAAATAACTTTAAGTTAAAAGTATCTTGATTTTCCCTTTAGTATCTCTGCATAGAGAAATGATTATGTATGCTGGAGTAAAGTGAGGCAGACCAGCCTAATATATAATCTCAGCCAAGGTTATTAAGTGAAGTGTGACTCCTTAAGATTTGATTGTCTTTGGTCTTTCTTGTAGCATCTACTCAAAGTCCAAGAGGAATACAAAAAGAAAGAAGCTGAACTTGAAAAAATCAAAGATGACAAGTTACAGGTGGAAAAAATGTTGGAAAATCTTAAAGAAAAGGTACATGAGTCCTAAGTGAACCTTTTCACTTGCCCATTTCCCCCTTTCCAGTGACAATAAAATGCCCTGGAAGTTGCTACAATAGGAAAATGTTTGGAATGTTTAGCTGATTGGGGATTAAAAGCCCCATCTCCAAGGTAATTCTTGAATCAAGGGCTCTGCTTTTAAGTGTGAGTCCTTGGTATTTATAAGCGTTCTGGAGAGTGTACTTTTCAATGAATAAAAAATCAATACATCCCTAAAATTCCTCAGTCTTCCCTCTTGGAGAAGACCAGTGTACACCTTATCTTGTCAAGACCAGAGTACACACTTGATCTTGTCAAGCAAATAACAACATAGAAAACTCCTGTGACACGAGTACCTTTAATTAAACATATCATTAAAAGAAGAAACACAGAGCAACTAGAACGTTGACATTTTTGTGTGGACACTCCATCTAGTGTAATAATGAACAGTTGCAGGTGACATAGCTATAACCAAAAAGGGAGAAACCTTGGAAAGCAAACAAGGAGACACAGTATTCTAAAGCTAGATAATAGTAACGTGGAAGGCAAGATGGGACTTGGCCTAATGAGAACCTGCAGTGATAAGAAACACCAGTGAGGACCTCTGAGAGAGCCTGCTAACATCTGGATGGATTAATGTATCACAGCCATGAATGAGGTGACCAGTCTGTTTAAGGATGCGAAAGTCTACTAATGGTGTCTCCATCATACCTCTCTAATGTCTCTTATGCCTGAACATTCAACTAAAGTTATTCTCTGATAAGGAAGGCTCATTGACCGAAATTGACCGATTTTAATGTCTTGGAAGGAAGAGATTAGGATCTTACACCAAGAGCGAGAAATCAACAATGCTCCACTTCCACAAGAGCTCATGCTCTTTAACTTGTGTGCTCAGCTCGGGAAGATGCAAGGCATGCTGGGCATGTGTGCCAGCGTAGAGACTTCCCCCAGAGTGCCATTAAGAACTGGCAACCTTGGTGTAGTTGAAATGAATGATTAAAAGTGTTTTATTCTGGAGACCATTTGCAATACGCTTTTAATTCGTCCACCTCATAAAACCAACTCACTTCCCAGTTTTGTGTATGCTATTAAAGAAACAAGCATAATCCCAGAGAAATTTATTTATCAAGCTTTTAATTGAAAAGTACCAAAGCTGCTCTATTTATCAGGACTTTCCTCTTACTATCAGAGCTTCTAAAATGTCCCAGAGCTGCTACATAGCTGTTTTGCTTCTTACATAAAATGGAGTGTGTAGCCAAAGGCCTACAGATAGACATGGGATTATGCTAATGGCATTAAGCTTAAAATCACCCTTTGGGATTGACATCGCAAATTGACTTAAGGGCATTTTTAGTGCTTTAGTGTAAGCAGCTTTCTCTTTGTAAAGTATTTCATTTAAAGAAGCAAGAGGTCAAATGACATAGAAGAAACTTGCCATATTGTGCATAAGTTTAAGTGTTTCCCAGTCTGAAACTGAGTATATCATGACGTACCAGCTAAAGATGACAAGGAAAGAGATCCAACTGATAATCAGGAAAATGTGAGTCAGAATATGTTTTTTCCTGTTATTTTAAGCAAAGCTTTGTTCAGAAAAAATCATGACAGTTCATTATAAACTGATCTTCTCTGGGAAGCTGATTTGTGACCAAATATTTAAACCTGACACAATTAGGTTAGGAAGCAAAGTACCATCACATTAGACTGCAAAAGTAATTTTAGGTTGAAAGGAAAGCAATAAGTTTCGGTGAGAAGGGATTTTTGTTTGTTTGTTTTTGTTTGGGTTGCTTCACGGTAAACCACAGTGTGACTTACTGTCAGTGATTTGCAATATAACAACGTGACTTATATCTACTACAGAAAGAACTACCTCTTTCAATCTGCTAGTAAAATTCAAGGTGATAAGCATCCCTTCAATATGCCTTCTAATTTTTTAAATGCCAGCTATATAATAAAGCTGAAGTCAACTTTCAGTAAGGCTACATTTCTATTCCAGATGGCTAGAACTTCTCAGGATGTCTTCATATCTTAAATCACCCAGGATCTGTTAAACTCTCACACTTAAGAAATGGTTTCCTAGATCCTTTAATGTTGTAAGGGGGTTAGAAGCAGATGTACAGCCCATGGCTTAGAAGTGAGCCAGTACTCTAAATCAAACTTGGCATGGTACTTACTGCCTGGATTGGATTCTAAAGGCCAAAGATTGAGCAGGTCATCAAGAAAGGTTTCCCTTCTCACTACATCCAGGAAGCCTGTAAATCCAAAAAACAACATGCCTGGCAGCATAGACCATTCATTTGGTTCAGAGGCAGCATCCTGGAAGCTTTGAAGACATCTTTAAAGAAAACAGAAGGAAATCTGTCCCTGCTGAGGGCTTGCAGAAGGGAAGAAGTGACAGGGCATCTGAGTCAGGCGTGATCTGCGCTGCCCCAGGAGCATAGCCCCTGCATTTTCTTCTACAATAGCAGTGAGACTGAAGCAGTGATTTCTTTTATTCCTTCTTCTGAAGGCTTCCCTTCACATTTAGAGTACAGACAAGATGCTCTCAGTATCCAAAAAGAGAAAGATCCATGAAAGGTCTGGAGGTATTTTTCAATTTTATTGCTGGTCGTGAATTTCATCTGAATATCTCTTATGAAACATACCTGCCATTGCTCAGAAAGAGGAAACTCTCAACAACAAAGGATGCCACTAAGTAATGATATTTGGGGTTATGGCAATTTCTTGCTGGAAAGTCAGGAATATCCTAACCAATAATGTCCTTATCAGAGAGAAGAGACAGAGAGAGAATTGATAGTTAATAAATAGGGACTCTATTTTTTTAGTTTAAAAGCCAAAAGTTGATTACCTGCTAAATTGTAGATTAGCTAAAGTGTAGATTCTCCATTCAGAGATGGGACTTCCCTTAGGAAAATGTAGGCCTAAAATAAGAAAAAAATGCCCCTTTTAACAGTGAATGGGATGAAATCCAGCCTCTACCACTTCACAGCAATGTGATATTAGGTAATTTACCTTATTTATCTGAGTCCCACTTTTCTCATCTGTAGAATGGAGATAATATATGCCTAGCAGGGTCTGGCATCTAGGAAACAGTAAATGTTGAGTCTGGTCCTCGAGATTACTTGTATAGAGTCAAGAGTGATGAAGGCAGAAAACTGAAACTCGTGACAATGAATGTCTAATTTTTTCTGTTATGAAGCCGTTGTATAAAGGAGCTTTGGATTGTCTGGGGTGCTTTTGTAATTTATGCTGTCTTCCTTCTTCCCCTTCAATAATCACAATTGGACAGTATTGCTTTCAGAGTGCTGTGTTACAAAAGTTCCCTGTTGTCACTGAAACCAAGCCTGTTATCAAATATAAGGTGAACTGACCCAGGAAGCATATTATTCCCACAGGAAAATGGTGCTTCTGGACTGTGTGCATCAAGCCAGGATAGCGACTGCCCTCTTGAGAAGACCATGAACAGCAGTCCTATCAAATCGGAACGTGAAGCGCTGCTAGTGGGTAAGGAAGCTAAAGACGCTCACATACGGTGTAGAGAATGCAGTGCAGAGGAGGATGGGCCTGCCTCAGATGAACAAGTGCACCCCAAGCATTTATGAAGCATGACAGTGCAAGAACCCAGAGTCCTGAGGACTACAGGATAAGGTCAAGTACAGATTTCAATAAAAACAGTAACAGCAGCTCCCAGCCCTCTTCAAGCTCCTTGTGGCCACTGCCACATCAAGTGTAAAGGCATAAGCACTATGCCTAGACAGGCTCCACTAGAGAAGCACATTATAGATTTTTAAAATCTCTATGCAAGGCTAGCTGAGCCTTTCTCAGTCCCATTCAAGGGACAGTGCAGACACTGCACAGCAGAGAGCTTTTCCATGTGAGCCTCCGGAGAAAGTGTTTGCCTCTCTTAAGTTTTCCAGGTTACTGGCAGATGATTCAGAAGGTTGTCTAAGGTGCTGGGCGCTGGTGGACTCTGATGAAATAAATGCTAGAATTGCCCTCATTATATAGAAATTCATTCAAAGAGGCAAGATTGCATACATGGATAAGGAATCCGACAGACCCGGCTTCCTGTTTTGACTCCACCATTTCCATTCTGAGCTTTAGTTCTTCCATCTGCAAAATGGTCATAATAATATTACCTGTTTCAAAGGGCAGCTGTGAGTATTAAATATAATAATTCATCAAAATCATTTTATACAGTGCCAAGCCCATAAGACCTCAATAAATGCAAACCATTTGGCACTTGCAGCACTATTCACAGATGTTTGTTTACTTACATTCCATTTGGAGAACAGTGGCCAACTGATATCCTATAAAATATTTTGTCATTTAAAAGGGGCTGATCTTGGGCCTCAGCAGATAATCCCTAGCTGCCTTCTGGGAATCTGAGCCACACAGTAGCCCCACCCCTATCTCAAAAGTTCTCCACACTGATCGGCTTCTGCATATTTTTAAAATATCTGCCTCCTTTGGTAATGGATATTATACTCAGATTTAACAGTTTGATATGTTAATAAAGATGCACAGGGGGATCTGCCATTGAGTCTTCAAGAAAAGTGACAACTTATTTCCATTTTCCAACTCAAAGTTCTTTAACAAATTGGCATGGCAACTGGGAGACCTGTCAGAGAAGAGCTGGGGGTAGGAGGAAGCTTCTGTAAATGGATAATTCTAGAAACAAAGATTCTTAAGATAAGTGTTTCTTGTTTTGTTTTTCTAAGGAAAGTAGTCCTGGGCTGACAGTGAAAATGGAAAATCTATTTTTTAAATTGGTTCTTTGGGTATGAACCAACAAAGCTGCTCAGTGTTTTGAAACCTATAGAGTTGTTTGTTGGCATTTGACAGCCCATCTTGACCAAAGCATCTATAATTCCTTTGAAAATGGACTGTCTTCTTCAGAATTTAAGTTTCTCAACTTGAGTCAGTGTTTAGAGATCCAATTTGCCTCGTCATTTAAGACTAAAGAAGTGTTATAAGTAATAACATCCATTTTGAACAGATTTTGAGTCCTACCATTAGTTCCTCCTGTATTCCCCAACCTATTCCCTTGCCATCTAATATTTGGAGGATTTTAACAAAGAACTGATTTGAACTTCAAGCTACAGTTTAAACTTATGATATTCTTTGTCAGTCTCTAAAAGGGACAGATAGGTTGTAGTTTATGAAGTAAATCATACTTAGCTTTTATTTCCTGGCAGTTTTTAGCAAATTCAATTCTGGGTCTATTTGAGGTACCTACAATCTTATAAAAGGAGATGAATTCAAAAAAATGTAAAGAAAGAAATAGTAGACTTTTGAACAAAAGAAGTATTAGACAATTAACCTGGTGGACAGAACAATCAAGGCAGTATGTGTAGCTGCCAATCACCCCATAGTTACACTGAGTAGACATTATGACCATTCCTAAAAGCTGTAAACTGCCATGAGAATTCTGAGATTCAGGGGTTTGAGCACAAACAAAATGCTAGTGACTACTTGAGTGGGAGAGGGGAGTAGTTTGGCTTTTCTTATGGAGATAGTTACAGAATAAAACTCTTAATACAATCAGCAAATTCTCTTGTGAGAGGCATAAGGTTAATCAGGCAAAGTACATGATTTGTACTTTTATTAGAACAAGACATTATTAAAGCATAAGAGGCTAAAGTCCAATTTAAAGACTGTGCAGAGGAACTGTAAAAACCTAGCACAATCTAAATTCATTGTAAAATTCAAAATTCATTGCAAAATGTAGAACTTGGGTCATCTTTAGCCATCAAAAACAATGGAAGTTACTCCTGAAATGCCAGCTTTTCTACATGTTACGTCATGTAGTGAGACGCAGTATATTAAGAGTGATTGTCTGGGTTCAAATACCAGCCCTGCCACTTAGCTGCTGTGTGACCTTGGGCAAATTGCTTAAATTTTCTGTGCCTCAGTGTCTCATGTGTGAAATGGGGATGGTAATACCTACTTCACAGGGTTGTTGTAAAAACTGAATGAGTAAAATAGATGTAAACTTAGAATAGTGCATAATACGTTGTACATATTGAGTTAGCTCTTGCTATACATTATCGTGTGGCATCTCAAAGAATACATTGCTCAAGTGTAACCTCCATGGTATTGTCTTTATAGGGATTATCTCCACATTCCTTCATGTTCATCCATTTGGAGCAAGCATTGAATATATCTGTTCCTATTTACACCGTCTAGATAATAAGGTATGTGGGGACCTGAAATGGGATGTAAGGTTCTTTGTGAAGAGGTGACCTTGCCTTCCTCAAGCATAGATAAATCATTAGTAATTGCTCTAAAGAAATGTCCCTCGGCTATTCTGTCACTGTGATCCTGTGTGGAGCCTCTCTCTGGCAAGTAGGATGACCATCTGTCTCTATTTGCTTGGGACTGAGTGGTGTTCTGGGACTTGGGACTTCCAATGCTGAAAATGGGGGAATCCTGGGCAAACCTCAATGAGTTGGCCACCCAACTTCCAAGATACATCTTAAAAGAATTAACGCCCAGCAGAACTGAGGAGGACCCTCCCTCCAGCTCCAGGAAAACTTAGGGTGATGGCAATTTGGGGTTTCTATAAGGATTTCCTAGTGTCAAGCCCTAGTGCCCAGGTTCACAGTTAAGAAGGTTACTACTAACCTAACGATGACCACCTCAAGCAAACCCTAAAGGGGTCCTCAGATTGGTTTTTGTTTTTATATTGATGTGAGTGTGTGTGTGTGTGCGCGCGAGAAAGAGAGAGAGAGAGAGAGACATGGGAGGGAGATACTGCACAGAATTAGGAACTCAAAGCATTCCCTACTCCTATCACTTTTCCTTTGTGAACTAATGCATGTATGGAGAATTCTGGTCTGGTAGCAGCCACTTCTGCCTCACTCCCCAAAAGGCTTTGCAACTTCAGTAGGCCTGCCAGCAGCATCACCACTGATCTGCTGCCATTCAGCTGGCTACAAACACAGGCCTCTCCATTATGACTGATACCAGCTCTTTCCAACAGAAAGCTCAGAGTTAGAAAACAGTGTGGAGGTTCCTGAAAAAATTAAAAATGGAACTGCCTTATGACTCAGCCATTCCACTTCTGGGTATATATCTGAAGAAACTCAAAACACTAATTCGAAATAATACATGCACCCCTATGTTCATTGCAGCATTATTTACAATAGCCAAGATATTGAAGCAACCCAAGTGCCCATCAGTAGATGAGTGGATAAAAAAGCTGCGGTACATTTACACAATGGAATATTATTCGACCATTAAAAAGAATGGATTCTTACCATGTGTGACAGTATGGATGGACCTAGAGGGTATTATGTTATGTGAAATAAATCAGACAGAGAAAGACAAAAACCATATGATTTTACTTATATGTGGAATCTAAAGAAGAAAATAAACAAATTAGAAACAGTCTCATAGATGCAGAGAACACACTGATGGTTGCCAGAGGGGAGGGAAGTGGGCTACTGGGCGAAATAGGTGAAGGCATTAAAGAAGTACTAATTGGTAGTTACAGAATAGTCACGAGGATGTAAGGTACAGCATAGAGAATATAGTCAATAATATTGTAATAACTATGAATAGTGCCAGGTGGGTACTGGAAATATCAAGGGGAACGCTTTGTAAAGTATATGATTGTCTAATCACTATGCTGCACACCTGAAACTAATACAAAATAATATTGAATAAACTGTAATTGAAAAATTAAATTATATAAGGTTATACAATTAGTAGTATTTTAATACATTTTTATTAATATAAAAAGGCATGATAAATAAATCTCAAAAAAGAAAGAACACTAAGTGGTGATCAATCTCAAAAACATCATTTGAAGCAAAGAAACGAGTCACAAAAGACTATATATTGTATGATTGCACATATGTGAAATTTTCAGAAAATGCAAAACCACAATGAAAAAATCTAAGTGAGGATTGAATACAAGAGGGCACAAAGGAACTTTTTGGAGGTGACGGAATGTTCTAAAACTGAATTGTGCTAAGAGTTGTAAAATTGTATAAATTTACTAAAATTCCTCAACATGTAAAATAAGTGAATTTATTGTATATAAATTATACTTTATGTTTTATTTAGTAAAGCAGTTATGAAATACATAAATAAAAAAGGTTCAGTGCACTCTGTCTAGTGGTCACAACAGAAGAAGGCTGCCACCTGGAAGCCACTCACCCAGTACATTCACATGTACAAGGAGGGAGCCGAGGTCAGCCCTACCCCTGACGTCGCACGTGTCCGCATCAGCGCCCTAAAGTAGGCAACACTGTGGGGGAAAGAGCCAGATTAGGAAGGTGAAACTGGTTTTGAATGGAGATGTACTCTCTGTCCCGTAGATCTGCACGAGTGATGTGGAATGTCTCATGGGCAAACTTCAGCATACCTTCAAGCAAGAAATGACTGGAGTTGGAGCCAGTCTGGAAAAGAGATGGAAATTCTGTGGCTTTGAGGGCTTGAAACTCACCTGAATTCATCTGCCTAACAACCTGGGATCCTGAAAATAAATGTGTTGGACAAGCTTAGAAAGTGATTTGTATTTTCAATAGTTTTCAAGTGGAAATTGCTTTAAATTTGTCAATTCATTCCTGGAGTCTATTTTAACTTAAAATAAGGATCCTACAGCAGCACCTCAAGCTACAGGCCCTAAAAAGAAATTGACTCAAACCTCAAGTGCTGTAACTTTCTCCCTTTCTGTCAATTGTCTATTTTATTAGTAGTATTGAAAAAGGCCTGAGGCTGAAGAGTATTTGGGGTGTCTTTGATGTCTGTACTACTGTTGTGGACTTTGGTATTTTTTAAACACTGTTAACTGAAATATTTTGATGATTTGTGTGTGATTTATGTTTCAAAACTTCTCTGACATTAATGTTGCTACTGCTGAGAGGAATGTGAGGAGCACTAGGTACTCCATAACTGACTTTGTCTTTCCTATCCCTAGTAAGTAACACGTCAGTGTCTTCTAGAAGGTGCTTGACCAGGTTCACCTTTTAAAAGACAAAGCATGATTTGTGGCTCTTGCAAAATTACTGTCAAACAAAAGTTGGCAACTGTTCTAAACTTATTTTCTCTAATATATCAAATAAAAGATTTATTTCAGAATTTTTTTTAAAAAATCTAGGTGTATGTGCAGAAAGCAAGTGGCCAGTATGACTGGCACGTGTATGTGCTATTCAGAATCACCTTGTAAATAGTCTGCTTCTAAAGGAGGGCATGTTTAGTTTTCTATGAACTAAAACGTGTGTTCGTATACGCACATGCACACACACATTAGCAAAAGGGATTTATTTTAATGTTTTCCCTCTGGCCTTCTTACAAAATCTGTTGGTCCCTTTTCTTCTATTGTCAGTGTGTTGAGTTGCAAACTGTACTGCTGTAAATACTGTGTTTACTTTGTGCTGAATGTTTTCAAAGAGCTGATATGAGTATTGATAGAAAACTCTTGGTAATGAATTGGGCCAGTGTGTGTGAGGCTTCCTGCAAATAGGTCAGCTCCACCTGGAGCACCAGGGACACCTCCAGATTGCAATATCAGTGCTTGATGGAAAAGAAAGGGAAAAACTGAGGATTTGGGGCTAATAACCTAAGTCAGAGATGATCTTTTCTTTTGTGGTGTTGCTGGTGCCTATAATAACACAAGCATGCCCTCCCTTGAGTCTTGATTCAAAATAACTGAATGTACTAAGTAAGCAAAGCCGATGAAGAGTATTTCAGGAAAATACTTTGTAAATGAGATATCAGTAGTGTTCAAAGTTGTATTTTTGAAAGATAAATATTCTTTTTTTATACCTCAATTTGGTGTTCTGTTTTGAATTACTTACTCTCTAAGTAATCCTTCAGTAAATCATTTCTGTTTCTTCCTTTCAGTTACTGGGATGTTGGAAGAAGATGCTAAACCTGCTGCCTTGACAACTAGAAATAGGGTTCCATGGCAGCCCATTCATGCTGAAGCTGGCCTCCCCCTTAAGCACCCAGCTGTTGAACCAGCAGGAAGCTAAGGTTATTTTTACACTAGTTTCCTCACTGAAGCATCTCTGTCATCAACACTACAGAAGGCTTTTATTCATCTGTCTAAGAGGTCCTGGAATGTATTATTTTAACAATATCTATGAACTCAAAGAAAATTTGCCACTTATCAATTATTTTTTCTTTTTTCTATGCTTAATAGATATTTTTAATTTTATTTTCATTGCTGACACTATTACAGATGTCCCCATTTCCCCCCTCCTTTGCCCACCTCCACCCAGCCCTCACCACCCTTTCCCTCTGGCCATCACCACACTGTTGTCTGTGTCTATGGGTTATGCATAAAGGTTCTTTGGCTAATCTCATCACCTTCTTTCATCCAGCCCGCTCCTGTCCCTTCCCCTCTAACAGCTATCGGTCTGTTCCATGTATCTATTCCTGTATTTCTATTTTGATCATCAGTTTATTTTGTTAATTAGATTCCACATATAAGTGAGATCATATGGCGTTTGTCTTTATCTGACTGTCTTATTTCACTTAGCCATAATAATTTCCAGGTACATCCATACTGTCACAAAAGGTAAGATTTCCTTCCTTTTTAAGGCCACGTACTATTCCATTGTATAAATGTATAACAGCTTTTTTTATTCACTCACCTACTGATAGGCACTTGGGCTGTTTCCAGATATTGGCTAGTGTAAATAACACTGCTATGAAAATAGGGGTGCATATATTCTTTCTGATGGGTGTTTCAAAATTCTTAGGATATATTCCCAGAAGTGTGATTGCTGAGTAAAAAGGCAGTTCTGTTTTTAATTTTTTGAGGAAACTCCACATTGTTTTCCACAGTGGCTGCCCCAGTCTGCATTGCCACCAGCAGTATACTAGGGCTCCTTTTTCTCCACATCCTTGACAGCACTTGTTGTTTGTTGATTTATTGATAGTAGCCATTCTGACAGGTGTGAGGTGATGACTCATTGTGGTTTTAATTTGCATCTCCCTGATGATTAGTGATGTTGAGCATTATTTCATATGTCTGTTGGCCATCTGTATGTCCTCTTTGGAGAAGTGTCTACTGGAGTCCTTTGCCCTTTTTTTTTTTTTATTAATTTATCTTTATTGTTGAAAGTATTACAGATGTCCCCTTTCCCCCCCCATTGATCCCCTCCACCTGGCATCCACCCCACTCCCAGACCTTCCCCACAATGTCTGTGTCCATGGGTTGTGCTTACAGACATACAAGTTCTTTGATTAATCTCTCCCCACCCACTTCCCCACTCCCACCTTCCCTCTGAGATCCCTCAGTCTGTTTCATGCTTCTGTCTTTGGATCTATTTTGTTCATTAGTTTATTTTATTTATTACATTCCACATATGAGTGGGATTATGTGGTACTTGTCTTTCTCTGACTGGCTTATTTCGCTTAGTATAATACTCTCCAGTTCCCTCCATGCTGTCCCAAAGGATAACTGATCCTTCATTTTTACAGCTGCATAGTATTCCATGGTGTAAATGTACCACAGCTTTGTAATACATTCATCTATTGATGGGCACTTGAGAAGAATGTATGTTCTGCAGCTTTGGGGTGGGATATTCTGTAAATGTCAATTAAATCCTTCTGATCTAGTGTGTCATTTAGGGTCACTGTTTCCTTGTTGATTTTTTGTCTGGAAGATTTATCCAGTGAAATCAGTGGGGTATTAAAGTCCCCTAGTATGACTGTCTTGCTGTCAATCTTTCCCTTAAAGTCCTCTAGAAGTTTTTTATAAATTTAGGTGCTCTTATATTGGATGCATATATGTTTATTGGGGTTATATCCTCTTGTTGGATTCATCCTTTTAGTATTATGTAGTGACCATCCTTGTCTCTCGTTATGATCTTCATTTTAAAGTCTATTTTGTCCGATATGAGTATTGCTACCCTAGCTTTTTTTTTTTCATTTCCATTTGCATGGAAAAATTTTTTTTTATCCCTTCACTCTCATCCTGTGTGAGTCTTTTGTTTTGAGGTGTATCTCTTGTAGACAGCATATATTTGGGTCATGTTTTCTTATCCATTCAGTCACCCTATGTCTTTTTCTTGGAGCATTTAATCCATTTACATTTAAGGTTATTATTGAAAGATACTTATCTACTGCCATTTTAATTCTTTATGCCTATGTTTCTCTCTCTATTTCCACTTTTAATTACAGCAGTTCCTTTAACACTTCCTGTAATGCTGGTTTGGTGGTGATAAACTCCTTTAGCCTTTTTTGGTCTAGGAATAGAGTAGCCTTGGTTTCAGATCCTTGTTTTGCATTACCTTGAATACTTCATGCCATTCCCTTCTGGCCTGTAGAGTTTCTGATAAGAAGTCAGATGACAGTCTTATGGAAGCTCCTTTGTAGGTAACAAATTGCTTTTCTCTTGCTGCCTTTAATATTCTCTCTGTCTTGAATTTTTGGCATTTTAAT